CTCTATATTTTGGCGGGAGTCATCGATACTGCAGTCATCTTTTCATCGCTCGCTGTTCGTTGCAAGACAGCGAAAAACTATCAGAAGTATTATTGTGATTTATTGTTATGACATTTATTCTTAGATTTTGTGTTGGCTCCGTATTGGTGCAAGAATAAACGGTTCTTGAGTCATCGATTCGTGTTCTGGTTTTTCTGCGTTGGTTATTGTGCATAGTTCCTGGAAGTCTTCCAAGGACAGTGTGAAGTCCAGTGTAGTTAGACATGGACATTGAAAGACGTCACAAGCAGTACGGAATAACTTTCGGCAGGAAATCAAACAATCAGAAGACGTTGCTTCTCCGAAAACAACAGTGAGTGATAGTGTATGTGGAAATCTACAAATATTTTTTGATTTTCACAATAAGCTATCTGTTGTCTGGCCCTTGTCTTCTTTTGTTACAGCTTAATTAACTCTGATGGTAATAAAGCTTTATTTTGGACAATATATGAACGCTTAGTGTAGACATTTCCGACATAAATGTCCTCAATATCTCAACTTCATACAGGATTTACGTGGAAAGCAACAATCTGAAGCACACCATGTGACATGGTGTTTTGTAGTGGAAAGGAGAACTAATTCCTTAAGAATCTTCATTTCTTTCAAGAACTTCACAAAGTTTAGTAAGAAGCTAATTAAGTTTGCGCGCGAGTTCATGTAGGGATCATTTGAAATTACCACATGACCTAAGTAATAAGGGTTCAAGCATTTTGGTAGGGGAAAATTCCGCTAGCCCCTGCGATTAATGCAGGCCACCATCTTTCGGAATTTATACTGAAAGGTCCATTGGATCAAAGTTGTTTCGGCTTTAACTTCGTTACGATTCAAAGTGACTGGTCGGTGAGTTGTAAGTAATCGCACAATCAGAGATCTCATCTCGACTCGTTAGGATTATTGATGTTAAAAAGTTGGCGAAACGAAACAAGATGATCAAAGTTTCTTAGGAGGTAGATTGTCAAATGTTACACTCTACACATTGCAGAGTTCGAGGTGAAATTCACCACGATTCCCTCTGAGGACCCGAAATCTCCTAGGCACACTATGTGATTTTCTTGGTACTGTGAATGACAGCTAAGAAATCAAACTTAACTGCATGGCCGTGCGTCAACCAGTAATATTCACTATTGTGGTTGGGAGCTGGCAGGAAATGGTAAGGGAAAATATTGGAGGCCATGGTATTTACTTCACTAATACTCGAAGCTCTGTAAGGGCACCATTCTGTCCTGCATATATTTCGTAGTCAGAAAATCATAACCTTGCGTAAACATAACAAGCCGTAGACCGAAATCTTCTCAAAGTATTTCACTTAACTAACATCTGACTATGGTATGCCTAGTTAGCTGCAAATTTCCAACTTGCAGTCAGAAAGAGGATGACGTAAAGGTTCAAAAATTTACTGCATGTAAGTTTAGTGATACACTCATTACATACTGAATATCTAGACAGGTAAAGTTGTTACCTACCATGAAAAATAGTATTTTTCGGTTATAAATATCGAGAAGTACTTCAGGACAACTAAGAAAAAATAAGAGTTTTGTCACTTTTCTTCATGTCGGGCTTTTGAATTTCTGGACGGTAGTGAATTGAGTGAGGATATAGGCCGACACCAGGTGTTATCGCGCAATGCCATCGGTTACCGCGCTCACGTCAACAGACGTTATAATCACCTATTTTTTTGGAAATAGATTATATTTGACTAGTTTTAGACTTATGTAGCCGGATGGCAGTATTTTGCTGTATTTTGTTCTTAGTAGAGCGTAAAATTGTATATTATAGCTCGGACGAATTATCAATGAAGAAGTCATCCTTTTTAAGAAAGTTCGCATAGAAAGACTATTATTTGCATTATAGTGCGTTGAGGGTTTGTTTTTTTGCGAGTTGTTTCAGATCTTAAGGTTGTAAATATACTGCAGTCAATGGCTGTTGTCATTCCAGTGAATCTATTAGAATCTGGCCTATGAAAGAGAAATAGCATGCAGACATAGGTTAGATGTGTGCTTTGAACATGTTAAACTTTTCTGTTATCATCCGGGATGACTGAAATATTCCATAACACATTGACGACATTATGCGATGAATGAGACAGGCTGCTGAATTTCCTGGTGATTATATCTATTTTGATGAAGTTCCTAGTTAAAAGTGCTTGGGCGAAGATGTGAAAATAGTTTAATTGACATTTGCACATGGAATTTCACAAGGCCTTAATTGCTCAGTGCATGAAATGGCATCAGAGTATATTGACATCAGTGTTCATTGTGTCTGGAAGAATAGTATAAATAGTCCTTCTCAAATGTCAGAGTACTTAAAATTAGTACCAGATTTATGTCGATTAGTAGCTGGCGGCTGTGTCGTACAACTACTACACCTGTTACATAGGTTATATCAATCTTAAAAATTATTTTGCTTCACATCACTAAGATATTGTGAGATCCTTAATGACTTAATTGTGGCTATGAAAGATGTGGAAGATGCACTTATGGCTCATATATTTAACGCAGTTATTATTAAACAAGTTATCTGTAAGCAACTTGTGATGTTCTGAATACTGCAAACTGTTGATAAGAAACTGCATTAAAGGAAAAAATGCTGAACAGCTAGAAAATACTACTGCAGTTTCGTTGGTTGTTACCTTTAGCATTTGTAACTCATTATTCCAAAGCTGCGATTGACGCCAAACCATCCATGGTACCCCACAGGCCCTATTGAAATTTGTGAGACATCTTACATGTCAGGTTGTCTTCCATATTATAAGGTTGCAGATCTTTCAATTTACCTCTCACTGAAGTATCACTTATCTACTTCACTATGGTCTTTTCATTTGTGCACTATTACACTGCATTTTATGTTAACTGGATATGCCTTTATGCTTACAGTCTATTTGCTTTTATTAGAAACACAACAACAGCAGTGTTGGAACAAAGCTGTATTTTCATAGAAAACATCATATTTTCTATCCTTACACCAATATGGTTGGCATTAAACATTGCAGATGTATACTCACATTCCAACGACATAGCACTTAGCCAAATGTACGGTGTTCATTATTAAGGGTTTACAATTTAACTCTTATAATTCATGATACTTCACGATTGCAGTTTATAACATAACTTATTGCGCCTGTAGAAATGACATGCATTCATTGTAAACATTGGTTTAAACGAAATTTGAAATTATTACTATATGCTTGCTGCTATCCTTTAGAAGAGGAATAATGTGTGTTGCAGTGAAAACCCCAGAATAATGATGTCATTACCAAAGAATGAGAAAGGAGAATAAACCATTTTCAGCAAAGGTAGGCAGATATAAATCGTTTACCTTTAATATTACTTCTTCCTTACTTCAGCTATTTAAAAAACACTTTGTTTACTTATTTGTAGATATCTGGTAACGTCAATCACCCCAGTCACAGAGATTCGACATTGCACAAATTATTCCGACAATCGACTGCGTAAACACATTTGCTTGTTATTATTTTTTCATTAAATACATTTAATATCCTGCTTACCAGACCTTTCTTATTATATCTGAGTTTAGATGTATTTGTCATGATGACTAGGTGCAGACATGACTTATTAATAAGAACTGACGAAGTAATTGGTGGCATATTTTAGTGTAAGCTAAATCTAAATACGATTGTTAAAGCTCAACGAATTCAATAATTCGTCTGGTGTAGAGTTGAATTTACGCTACATGTCAACAGCCTTAGTCATATGGATTGACATCACGCTTTAAGTGAAACATTAGTAATGCAATACTTTCGAATACACGTAACCGTATAAGAACTGGGACTCGAATGCAGTGCCTAAGGTATGCCTACTATTGTCCCTAAAGACTTGTATATGACTATGATACTTATGCACGTTAGCTAACTGAAATACTTATAATTTAACACGTATGCTGACCGACATCGTTCCTACACAATTACACTTACGTATTGTTAGTAGTGAAAGTCCTAGAGAGCACCGGTCTAGCATGCCGTGCTCACAAAGTGAACACATGAATTGAAAGACAACAAAATTTACATGAAAATTTTATTTTCATTATGACAAAAATTTAGTTTATTTACATATTAAGAACACGATTGATTCCTGCGATTACTCCGTCTGCATAAGCATTGGCAAACACTTCTCCAAATTTGTCATTAATTCTGTCCATACCCGCATTGATAATCTTCTTTTTGGTATCGTATATGTTACTTCGATTTCGAGGGATAACTGCTGACGTACTTTGAGATGCGAACAAGTTGCGTGACCACGTCCATTGTTTACAATTATGCATCACATGGTTAACTACAAAAGGTGGAACAAAAAAAGTTAAGATAACTATGAACTGATTATTACATTACATTATACATTAAAAACGTAGTCATAAAAACGCAAATATACCTGTGAAATACGGCTTTCTTAAGTGGACCAAAAGCAAGTGTCGGCAGGGGTACCGACAGGTCTGAAATGTAAAGCACGTGCAGGTGCAAGCACTCAGATCAACCTGCACTGTTTTCCCATTTTCTTTGAAAAATACATAATCAACGGATTCGAACTCAACAGTAGCCCATCGTCGCAATTGGTATTCACGTATTACCTTCCTCGCGGCGTATGGTGTAAGCAACCGTATAATTGGGATTAAACTTTGTGAACAGGGATACGTGAAGCATCGTGATTGAGCAATATTCGCCTCCTGCTGTATTATTGAAAAACTTCGTTTATGCCATTTATACACCTTTAGCATACTTTTATGCAGACTATCAGATCTTTGCAAAAACCGTTTCATCTGCTTGTGGGAACTCTCGACACGATTATTTGTATCGTTCCCAAAAGTCAGCACGTTATCTCTGAAACAGGCCGCCCACAATTCTCGTCGATGCATCCAACGACGTTGTAGGTATTGACTGACATTAGCGTCCAATCTGCTAATAACTCTGAAGTAGAAATTAAATCTGCAAAATGAGAACAATAGAGGCATTACTCTGATCTCCTTTTACACTGCACTAGACGGCATAAGTAGTTCTTCACAATGGGATTTCTTGTCTACGAATAAAATGTAAAGTATGCTTTGAAAAACTTACTTTCCGACAGAAAGCTCGGCAAACATGAAAAGAACACAAAACAATGTGCGCTTGTCTGTGCGTTAACTTGACGGCTGCTATTTCAGCTTGCGCACAATCCATAATGAAGGATTCTGTTTTCGAGGTGTCTTCCATTATTTGCCGGAAACAGTCTAATATCCAAACTACATCTCGTTTGAATTCTTTTCTAGTCCACGCAAATAAAACTGGTCGTCCACGACCAAAATTATCCGTCACAAGTAGCTGGAACAAAGAATACCTGCACGTTGATTAATGAATTGGTAAACTTACTTCCCTTTATTTGTATTATACGTCGAATCAATACCAACAACTTCAGGGAACTGTTTATACAATTCCATTTGCTCATAAGTTGCAAAACAAATTCTTGTTAGTGAATTCCTGATCGGTTCATCGGAATAATACTCCATTAACTTCCCACGGGATTTTAGGAATTCAAAAATGTCACGACGACTCGAAATACCTTAAGTATGTAACAAGTACGTCAACGTTACCTTTATTCACTGCGGCTTTCATATTTTTAACGTCAATGCGAGTTATATCCTTGTTGTACTTCTCCTTAACATGCATTATTATTTCATCGGATGAGTGGGATTGCTGAAGAAGTGGTTCAATATTTTCTTTCTCTTCAACTGTTAGTCGTCTATACCATGGGTCATTCTGCATGTACACCCTGCTGCATGGATGGTTATGCACCATATTGTGGGAAGCAATTATGTATTCACTATGATGCAAAACCACGCGAAATGAAGACGAGCAATTGCAACATTTAGACCTGCAATATTCATGAAATCATATTACACTTCTTCTTACGACTTGTTTTTCAATTTCAATCCAGGTCTTGTACGATTCACTCCAAAAGTGCATTTAAAACCAACATAAGCGTACTTAAACCTGGCATCCGGCATCGTTTTGCTGCAATTATGAACATAGTGAGTGTAGGATAACTACACTGTTAGCATTATATGACTTCCTCACTTTTTGAAATTCTGCTAATGACTTCTCAAATTCATCCCAGCTGAAGAAACGCTTTCCAAGTATGTATTCAGCAAAAATTCCACTTAAATCTGTGCTCCTGTCACTCGAATTGACTACCTGCAACGGACTAAAATAAAGTTATCAATTAGGATCCATCTATGTCACAACTATTCCAACATAAATCGTAAAAAAACAACATTGAAATACAGGGATGATCGATAACCATCAAGAAAATGCCGCACGTATAACCTAAATTACAGAAAAACACAAGAACCCACCGGTTCGTTGACATCGCAAGCAACCAATAGACCAAACAACGAATTGTACGACAAATAATGCCTAGTACATGCACAAACAAAAAAAAACAAAGCGTTACAATAGTTTCATACACGTTTACAGTAATCACATATGCTGGCAAACGACGCAAACACAACCACGCAAATACAGCACCCGACAGCACGCACCCAAGGACAATTCAAACTCCAATTGACCGCCACCATTCTAGCCAATGAAAGACGAAAAAAAATTAGTCGCGGAAAATATAACACGAGACAACGTATATACTCACCCCTGTCAGCCACGTCTCATAAACCGTTAATGCCCAGCTCTTGCTACGCTCGGGCCCACGCTGTCCCTTGCAGTTTTTCAGAAACGCTTAGTAATAACGGACGAAAAACCAAAAGACCGATTGGTGACTCGAGGATTCCTTATTGTTACACCAACATATAAAAATAATGTTTTTACTAGGGTCTGTGAACAAATATTACAATAATAAATCACAATATTACTTCTGACAGTTTTGGTCTGACTTCTTTCTGAACAGCGACCGATGAGACGATGACTGGTGTATTGATGTCTCCGCGAAAATTGGGGAAGTTGGTTTTGAGCAAACAACCATGAATTGATCGTTCAATCTTCAACTACATTGACACTCCCCGGCAAAAAAGGGATCCATCCCTTTTTTCCATCACGACCAATACACGTTGACTTGGATGCCATTGCGAGAACCTGGGTCACACGGACAGAGCTGAAATGGAGAACAAACAGAAAAGCCAACACACCACAAGCATACCCACGGCACAATCTCACACATCGCTGACGACCTGCGCCTCCAGATAGAGACCTCCACTTGACATCTTGCAACACAATCGCCACTTGCTAGAATGACTCTTGCAGAATGCAACGTGACCATAGCACCACCTCACGATACTCCACGCACATCGTCTTATCTACTCACTACCAATCACCACTGAAATCGCTTGTCACTCATTCTGCCTCAGTTCAAGTAGCGGTGACGCATGCGAGCCTCAGTCGTTTACACTCTTTCTCCCCGGCGTGTGGGACCGCAGCTAACAATTATCTCCGTATGCATTTCATTCTCAGCAATAGCCTCCCAGACGTATACGACCCATCTGCTGTCTCTAACATCAATCAATTCATTCACGGATGTAGAAGAGTGGCCACAACTTCAGAAGTAATCACGACGAAACATTTAACAAAATTACACAATAACAACAAAGTACAAAAACAACGAGTAAACACAATGAATCGAAAAAACACCAATTGATATGACACACCACACATATATACAAACAGTACACACAAACTCGCGGATCATGTCCTGATGGAATTCCTTTGAAGAATCGCAGGAATTACACCAGTACGCCTACAACCCTTCTCAGGTTGACGATTGTAAGTTGTGGAATGTTCGGACACAAACAAGATTAACCAACAATTACGATAATTGGAACTCACACAACTATTTATCACAAACATATGTACAATCACTACATCAAATGTTGTGGATTCCGGCATGAAAAACTACCCTTGAAGAACTGTAGGACTTACAGCAGAACGCCTACATTCCTTCTCAGGTTGATGATCCAAGTGGAAGTCGTCCGGACACAAACAGAATTACCAACAGATAGATGACAGATGATATCAATTCAGTATATACAATATGAACATATGTACAAAACCACATACCAAGCACATTGCGCTGCTCATTGATGCGCTACCCTTTGAAGAATTGTAAGACTTACAGCAGTAAGCCTACAACCCTTCTCAGGTTGACGCCCTAGGTTGGAAAGTCGTTGCAGAGTTCATTTGCTGACCTCCTCCTATCGTCTATGTCCTCAAATCTGAACGGTAACACGCCCATGTCATTGTATCGTAGAATATAGATGACCAACAAACACACGACATATCTCATCATCCAGGTGTAGAAACAGAGTAACTTACACCAAAGATAATAGCATTCAAATAGTAACTTGAAACTAGAAACGCCTTTATTCGTGCACGTCAATTTAACAATTACTCTCTCGTTTACACTTGGCTTATCCTCACTAAACTGACCATTGATATTCGTCCTTTCAAACGAACTGATACTAGCATAGTCATTGGACAAGATACTTGAGTTGATGGGCGTCTTTTTCATTGTGGATGACAACACCGACGACAACTGATTGATACCAGTTGATGAAGTTAGCGGTGGATCAAAAGCTGTTGTTGCTCGGCTTTCAGAAATTTGTCTACCTGCAAGACCACCACCACTGCTGTCTTTTACTATCAGCTCAGGTTTAGCACTATCATCTGATGATAGGTGGGCTACATGCTGATCACTTACACTGACGGTCTCACAAGTATGCATGCCTTCTGCAACTGCATTTATTTCTACTCCACGTACAAGTTGTACAGAAACCTTGTTCAACTTAGCAGTAGTAGGCATATCACTCATCTCATCATGATCAACCAAAGACAACTGTGAAGTATCATGATCATTATCACAAATATTCACTTTACCGTCAAGTTCATCATTTTCAAACTCTTTAATAACAGAAGTAGACAATTTTGGTTCCTCCTCACAAATCCTAAAAGGTTTCATAACTTCACTCTGACTAGTAATACCTTGTAAACTTGTAGGGTCAGAACTGGACTCTGAAGCAGTAACTCTATTCTGTGACACTCTATTCAACAATGGTTTACCAGTTGCAACTACAGACTTCTTCACCACACCGTTATCGTCACACAATTCGGAGTCAGACCTTGATTTCACATCTAGCTTATCACTGAACTTGCTCACTGGTTCACAGTTCACCTTTGTATGCACTTCTTGCAAACGTGTAAAACACAACCGTGTTTGTCTTGCATCTTGTAACTTATCTGTTGAGTATGTACTACGAAACCTGTTACACTCACTAGGTCTATATGCATTACTAGACATCATGGAGCCTTCTGGATATCCACCTCTCTGAGGCCTATTCGTCATCAATGACTGCGTTTTACCCTCAGACTGCTCTGTTCTAGGGGTGAGATTCAATATACTGGAAAACTTGCTCATAGATTGATTGACACTATCTTTTACTACTTTCAGGATATCATCAAATTTTGGCTCGATACCCTCATCCTCCATACGGGAGCTTATCTTCACCCACTTCCTTTGCAGTCGAGTAGGTAGGCGTCTTGCTATTACTTCTAGTATAAAACTCGAGTTGAGGTCACTCATGCGATTCACCGAAATCATTCCATTCTTGTAAATTAGCAAATTATCCAAAAACTCAATGAGTGCCTGGGAGTCATCTTGTAGTTGACCACCAGTACCCTTAAGTACCTCGAATAATTTCCCTACAATCATTGAAGGTCTTCCAAACCTTTGACGTAGTATGCTCATAGCCTCGTAGTAGCCCTCTTTTGGCTTCATAAACTTACAACAGTGTATAGCTCTTGCAGAATCTCCAGTGCAATATCTCATCAAATACATTAACTTCAATTCATCATTTAATAAAAAACTACTCAACATGATCTCAAACTCCTTTACAAATTGTAAGTAATCAGCTGGGTTTCCATCAAAACACCGTGGTTCAAATTTAGGGAGTTTGATGTTCCTATTATCCCTGAACGGCGAAACAGTAACATCAACCATGTCATGCTTAACATCAGACACATCGTTACAATTAACAGACAAGTCACCATGACTTACTTTCCTGTTTGCATCCAAGACACTCTGTCCCTTCTTTGACCCAGGCATTGTTGAACTTGACCCAATTCCAAAAACGTTCCAGATATTGCTTGTTCAAAGAGGACTTGACCGGCACCAGTAAATATGAACGGTGACTATCCAAACTTTCACCAACTGTCTGAATCCGCCAAATCTGTTTCTACCATCAGAAACTGTCAGCCACGTCTCATAAACCGTTAATGCCCAGCTCTTGTTACGCTCGGGCCCACGCTGTCCCTTGCAGTTTTTCAGAAACGCTTAGTAATAACGGACGAAAAACCAAAAGACCGATTGGTGACTCGAGGATTCCTTATTGTTACACCAACATATAAAAATAATGTTTTTACTAGGGTCTGTGAACAAATATTACAATAATAAATCACAATATTACTTCTGACAGTTTTGGTCTGACTTCTTTCTGAACAGCGACCGATGAGACGATGACTGGTGTATTGATGTCTCCGCGAAAATTGGGGAAGTTGGTTTTGAGCAAACAACCATGAATTGATCGTTCAATCTTCAACAACATTGACATACGCAGTCAAGCACCCCAACATGCTTACAACTTATTTACACCCCCGGCTGACAGCTAAGATCAGCCTGTTAAAACTTGGCTGCCACGCAACACGATTGAGCAAAGAAGGATTATACACCTGCACATGTCTAAGCGTGTATTTGGGTGGATACGATGACGAGGAATTATAGGAATACACTACCACACCAAAGAGTAATAACTATTCTGCTGTTCCTTTACAGGTCGTTTGTGTCCGACACCCTTCCTCAAGCGATTTCATTGCCAAAGATGAGGTTTTTGGTGTCTCACCATTAGTTTTATTGATTCATTCTGAATACATTTTATGTAATCTCTCCAGTGATTTGTTCACAAAAATATGAGCACTTTTATTCTTCTTCCATGGTTTGAGAGATCTCTTTCATACCTAAATTATTTCGTAAACATCTCTCGTTTCACATGCCTCCCCTTTTCAGGGGAATAGGTTTGACACGCAGACACTTTTTCCCCAGGTGTTGGCTTCACTGGGTTGGCTAATAAGTAATCAATGTCCATATTTCTAGGCCTTAACGCCTTTATTTTCTACCCATTCACTTGAGCTCCTCCAACCTAAATGAAAAAAGAGAGGGAGAAAAATAGGACTTGATAGATTGTTCATATTTAGAATAATAGACACAGCCTTTCTTTGTGCTGTTACAAGCTTATCAAAAGTTTCTGTAACTGTTGGCCACTTAAATGAGACTTAATTGGAACTTAATTCAGCAGTTGAGCACATCAGTTTGGAACGCACTAGCGGCGATCTTAACTAAGTTCCGAGCTGAAAATCGCATCTGAGTAATAACCCTTTGATTCAGATACACGAAAAAGATTTCATAGTACCACTGTCTAATAACTTGTGACTTGTTCGACTAACTTTGGAGACTGAGTCTCTCTGTGTGATCTTATTGTTGGCTGACAAGGTATTTTATCATGATAGATATAGTTTTGTTAAATGACTGCCAACAGCTTTCTATTTTACTACCGAATACATTTAAATAACTTCAGGGGTTTATAAGAGTACTAAATCCAAGGCCGAACCATATTCTGTTGTGTACCGTTTATACTACCAGGCAACTCTCCTCGAACTTGCTTAAACAATCACTCTCGTAAGAAGTGATTGGGAGCATGCAGTTGATACAAAGTCTCCTTATGAGTTCTGACTCGTTTATTCTTCATATATATTAATATGAGATACCAAAGCACGCAATGTCATTGCAGAAGTAGCGCGTTGTTTGTGTTTTTCGCTACATGCGCATGGTCTTCGTAGAGCATGGTGGATGAGGTGAATACTTGTTAACTAGTTTGCATTTTTGTACTTATTAGTCTATTGAATAATCAAACTTTATTTAACCTACTACTTTTGGGCAATTACATACAGTGTACGCCTGTTTCAAATGACCCAGATTCACTATGACATTATAGTGTCATCAAACCCGAAGAATGGTTTTGTCTACCATCCTAGTGAATTTCTGTTCTGTCAAAGAAAATATAGAGGATACTTGATTGTAGGATTGCATTTTGAACTGCTGTGTGAGCCATTTTTCGATGTTCTAGGCTCACTGAAAAAACAATTTAGTCCACACAATACATTTAGTATACGAAATCGATATTGATTTAAATAAGTATTGTAAGGTTAAAATAAGACCTTAAAAATAACCGAATTGAATTAACTCACTTTGGTGACCAGTAAAAGGTGTCATGTTGTCGACTTAGGGATAAATTTGACATGAACAATGAAGAACTTTCTTAAAACATCACCTTTTGCTGAGAAGCTAACTTAGAGGACCCTGTTGTCTCCCAGAGTCCTTGAATCTGAAATTAAGCTTTCTACACTCCTGATCACAAATTAAAAGTGATTTAATTAAGATGGCAGGAGATCATAACTTATTTTTTACACAGTCTGTATGAGTAATGATATCAATAGGTCGCTATCAGTCTATACGCTCCCAATTTTTATCTTTTAAATATTACACGCATATAGGTTCTCACAGTGTATATCACATTTAGAATTGAGGTGGAACTCACTATACAACTGCTGAGCAGCCGTTGCCGACAACTTATCTGTTGTAGCTCAGTTACCCCGAACAGGTTTTTCACATATGAAGCTGTAAGACACACGTATTGTATGACGGCTGATAATATCACCCGCTTGCCCAGGATAAAAATAAGTGGGGTGGGGTCTAAACCCTTGGTCCTAATGGTTACAAGTAGAATACCTAATCTTATGAACTATACCACATGACTGTTGTCACACTCGTTTATGCTCTAGGCCAAAATGTTACGGTTTGAATAATTTATTAGATACAGAAATTTTATTGTATTAAACTGTTAATAGTACTTAACTTACAAAGATTCGAGGCGTTATAGTAGAAGTAGAATAAGGTATGCATCAAGATTTAAGCCACTCGATCAGCTTAACCACTGGTCTTGAGCAACTGTTCAAAAGTAAGAAGCAACAAAAGTCACTAAGGTTTCTGGATGGTGATCACAGATGATAGTGTTCTGAGATCTGTTTGTATTTCTGATTTTTTCTTCAATCTAATTCAAATCCTGATTAGCTCAAAATATTAACCCTGTCAGTAATTCAGACTAAAGTATTATTCATACAGTAATCGAAACACGCGATGTTCGTGGATCTCATCAAGCAAATCTAGGAGAGAAGGTATTATCTGACATTGTTGTACCTCTTGTAACTTCAGTTGACTGTTGTAGGACATGTCCCGAGGTGGCTGATGTAGTTAGACTTCGCCATATACTCATAAATCTTCAGCCTATATTGTGTAGATTTTTTTGTTTGTCTTCGAAGTGCCTGAAGACTAATTAATACTGTTCAAAGTAATCTACAGCAGTGCAATTGTTGTACGTGTTGAAAGTTAGACATTCTTAATGGTACCGAGGTTATTCTATCCCAAATTACGTTTATTAGTTTGTTACTACTGTCAATAATAGAATTACTGACTGGTTACACTATAGTTCAAATGGTGAGTATCAGAAACGCATATCCTTGACTTATGATTTGTTTACATCTGTTAATTTGTTATACTTATGTATGATTTGGGGTAAAAAGGAGTAACGTATTATTTAATTCAATTTGGGCTATTTCGTTGATGGATTAGACTGAACTGTTCGGTTTCAGGTTGACATGCCTGCTTGTGCAGATGCTTCGACGATGTCTGGTCATTTGTCTTAAAGTCGATTGGTGAATAGTGGTGGAATCCAAGACGAGTATTTCGTCCTGTTTGGGACTCGTGGTTCAAGTGGTCTAGTGGATAACGCGTTAGCGTTTAAAACTATAGGTATTAGGTTCGAGCCTGAGTGATAAAAGCACCATTCACTGGGGAATGCAGGTACGTCCAGTTGACGAGTTCCAAATAGGACTGCATGGTCACTCAGGATTCCACTGTTAGTCACCTCCCACCAATTTAATCCAAGGATCAAAGTATGATGCGATTCCTGCAGAATGCCCATCCTAAAATAACTCATCAGAATATAAAACTCGTCAGCTCGAATACAGAAGGCTTGGTTCGAAAATGCCAGTTTACGTCGTCTCTGGCGTAGACGTGATATCCGACTATCGACCAAAGGGCGTGTGCTCTGCTCAGCAGTTCTCTCCGTTCTGTTTCTCCTTTATGGCTGGCTGTGTAACCTGGCCATTAAAAGTGGAAGACATGAAAAGGTTAGCTGTGTCTTTGATTATAGGTGCATGTGTTCTGTCTCCACTGTGAAGTGGTATAATCAGGTGAGCAGTATTAAGGTGAAGCAATGTTAGCTGGCATAGGATCAGACTGAAAAATAGCTAGTGAATGGTAGTCAAACCAAAACATGGCCTCATCAGTCAATACAATCCACAATAGTTAGTTTGAACCATGTAAAAAGGTGTAGACTTCCTAGTTGGGGTCCTCGGGACGGTAAAAACCAATGGCTGGAAACAATTGGTGATATGGCTCAAAGTAATCGTTCTCAATGGGTGGCACAAATGCATCCACTCTTTGTGATTTACAGTATCCAATAAATACTATATTGTTCTTCCATACCACCATTCTTTTTGCCTCATATCTCTGTTTTGAATCTCTTTTTACTCTCTTCTTTTGCTTTATGTGCTACATGAGGTGAGACAACTGAAACTGCTGCGTGTCTGTGCAGTTTTCTAAGTTGAAACCAGTCAGTTAGTCGTCAGAATATGCTTACTTCGCATTCTTCGTTAGAACTCTATAAAAAGTTCCCAAATTTGCCCCTGAGAAATTTAAATATTGACCGTTGCTATCATAATATTAATCTTATGATACGAATCAGATACGCATAACGAAACCTTATGGTCATATTTTCAGTGAATTCCTCACTAAGAATATGATAGTTTCCTCTAATTCTGTGGTTCAAACACTCACTAGTTATTCCGTTTTTGCTACTCCTTATGTTAAGTAGTATGCCTTTGTCGAAAACCCTTCGGTTATGAATTGTCGGAACTAATTGGAAAACCAATGTAGAACCTTGTTCATTGTTTCGAGTTGCCACACGTCGGAAAAACTGCAATAGATGACGTGTAAAAAAGAGAGTGAATAAAAGTACTGATAAAAACTTTCAGAATCTGGATGCATCTGTACCACTAAGAACCATTTCGACCCGCCTCTTGAAGAGCCTTCAACCATTAATTTTTCACAAGATAAGAATATTCCTACCTGACTCAGAAGTCTGTGATTTCATGAATTGGTACCATTTTTAGTTTTATCACCTCCAAGTCTTTCGATATAATCTTATTTCATTTGTAATTGTTCATTGAAGGTTGTGGCTTAATATGTGGAACGCTTGTACTAGCTAGTTCTTATAGCTTTACAACATTAATGGTTGCTTTCCCATCAAAATTTAACGCCTACATTAATTATCACTATACTCCACTTAATATGAGTGGTGATTCGGCTCATCGGTATGTGGACTCTATTGTTGTCCAGCGGATCCCAAATCATACTCCATCTACTTCGGATTCAGTGACTAGAAGGTGGTTTCTTCAGCTCTCATACAATGAGTGTGGAATATAATCTGGTACATTGAAGACTTACTCGGGATAGGTGATTATTAAATGGCCTTATACGGGCAAGTGACAAGAGCATTATTAGTTTTAGGCATAAAATTAAACCATCCCATTTTGATTTTTACCACAGAAACGAGTAAAATAACTCAGTTTTGATCAGAAACTAACGTTGCGTTGAGAACCATTTGGGGCCAGATGATAATACTGGAGAGCTATTTATTTCAAGTTTAAGACTTCAGGAGTACTCACCCATGACCTTATAGATATACGAGGCAAGACTGTTCATCATGCAGCCACTGGGACAGAACACTTTGATCCATGAATTCTAAATTCCGACAATTCACGATTTATATATATATATATATATATATATATATATATATATATATCATCGGGAAGGGAAGAAAGAAGGAAAATGCAACACCTTCGCCATTGATTACGATTCTTGGCCATATCCGATAACGTTTCGAGTCATCGGTTCGAGCTATCTCGCGGACTCCAACCAGGGAGTCGTGACACCCCAACCGATGCTAATCTAGCACAAACATCCTTCATCCCACGACGCCGTCATGGACTGACCACCCCTCCGCCTTTTCCATCCCGTCCCAGGGCTAGCTAGCGAACAGGGACCTGTACGGAAGCCTCTGGGATAACATTCGCAGCACATGTCCAAGCCACCGGAGCCGGTGTTTCCAGATGAAGATTCTCAACGAGTGCTGATCTCCATTGTGTTCAGACACACGTCTGTGAACCTCAGAATTACTCACGCGATGATGCCATCGAACTCAGGCAATCTTTCGGAGACAGCGATGATCAAACACGCAGAGTCGCCGCACATCCTCAGCTCGGAGAGGCCAGGTTTCACAGGCCTAGAGCAAGACAGCCTGCACCGCAGCACTGTATACCCGACTTTTGACAGCCAGGCTAACGTCACGACGGCACCATAGGTGGCTGAAATTGATGGATGCCACCTGTAGGCTTCATGATACTGTTAGAAATCTCATCCAATACCCTTCCGCTAGCACCGGGACTGTGTCATGTAGTCAGTTGCTAGTGAGCTTTAGATTAATTTTCAAGTGTTGGCTTGTGGGGATTTAGTTTGATTCCTGGTGGGATCATGTGTACGTATTGATGAAGAATCCCAAACTAGAATGAAACAGTAATGCAGTACTCCCTGATTTAAGATGACTCTCTAATTGTTATCAGCTCGTGATAAAGAAAACTCGAAACCAATTAAATATCTATAAATCAACTTTAGTTTCCTATCAGGAAAACTTTTTAATACAAATTCATGTTTTCGCTAATGCCAAACTTGATTATTCACTTCTTTTAACCAACCAACTTGTATATTCTTATTGTGAACAATATTCAGTGAAGAGACTCTTTTCAATGAATTTATTATCAAGCTGTACAATCGTGTATATACATGTATATATATATATATATATATATATATATATATATTTAAAGAAATTATATCTGGTGAGGGAGTTAGGTCAAAATTGTGAATACATGAAATAATAATAGCATGAAATGCAATTAAAATATTTGTGTGCGAAGCTCTATTCTGGAACACCTGATCGACTTCTGTCACTCGGTCAACCCTGACCACGATTTCAAGATCATATATAGAATTCATGCTAACTCCCCACGTTTTCTTCGTTACAGACTTCTAAAGACAGCTGAGGCCCTTGGTCATTCATGACTTTAAGCCAGACCTTTGTGTACAAAAGAAGTATGTACAATCCCTACTTCTACCTTGGCCGTAGAGGGTTTGACATTTATTTATTTTGTTTATTTAGTTATTCTATGTACATTTCCCTTATTACTACGATTATTATTATTATTATTACTATTCTCACTCTGAATCTTTTCCACTTCACCCACTTGTCATTTTAAACCCAAGGTTATTAATTTTTATAATTTTTATTTTGTGCAATATTGAATTCTATCTTATCAAATTTCCCACACCATGTTATGTAACATTTTATATTTGTCTACCAATCTTATAATTATGTACCCCTTTCCAAAATCTATACACCTTATGTATTATTCTATATATGACATTAATTATTTTGGTACTTGACATTAAACTATGATTACAATCACAGATATTTTAATTTCATTTCATACTACTATTATTATTTCATGTATTCACACCTTTGACCTAATTCCCTCACCGGATATAATTTCTTTTTAAAACTATATATATACGATTGTACAGCTTGATAATAAATTCGTTGAAAAGAGTGTCTTCACTGAATGTTGTGTTCTTAATGCTACAATGGGAATTAATAGATTATTCTTATTGTATTCGCGGATTACATTTTAAGTGTATTCCTTGAAAATCTGAAAATTCACCTTTTGATATCTTGAGTATCCTATTTCTGCTGTGGCAGGTTAGGCGGTCAAAACGATGTTTAGGTTTATTTTGAATTAAATATTCGCAATGAAAATATACTTTATTATTTTTTGTTGTTGTTTGTTTTAGGATTCCGATGACTATGAGGCACTGCCGAATACTAGTCCACTTTCACAACACATGCTAGCCGGTGCTTGTGCAGGCATAATGGAGCATATTGTAATGTATCCTGTTGATTGTGTTAAGGTAGGTAATAACATAATCACTCTTCTTCACCTTATGATTTCTCCATTATACAGACTCGAATGCAGTGTCTCAGACCAATGGGTGGTGGTACTAATTGTCCTGGCCTACTTACTGGCCTATATCGTCTTATTCTGCAAGAAGGAATCCCTGGAACACTGAAAGGCAGTGGTGCAGTGATATGGGGCGCTGGGCCAGCGCATGCTGCTTATTTTGGATGTTATGAAAAAATGAAATCATTCTTAACAACAGTATCTATGGGAACAAGTCATGTAAATCATATGATAGCGGGGACTTGTGCCACTTTACTACACGATGCTGTCATGACTCCTGCAGATGGTAAGTTGGGCATGCACAGATTTTTGTTTATAGAGCGTGTAAATGATCTCAGTGTGTCTTTGCAGGGTACTAGATAAACTAAATCGTTTCTGGTGTAATTAGCTCCACAGGATTGATCATTTAACCGACAAAGCCTGTTTGAGTTTGTGTGGCGTTTGAGTGACAGCCACTTTTATTCCTGCCATGTTAAGAATTCTGCGTAAGGTTTCCTGATTAATTTAATTTATCAGGGTAATTATTACGTTCTAAAGCTTCTCCCTCAAAAGCATCACTTCCTGTGTTCGATTTTCCTCGGTTGCTATACAGTTTTTGTGTCTTATTACGTAAAAGCTTCACCAATCCTATTCTTACTGACATAAAGTAGGATGATCGGAAATCCAAATATCGGTTTAAATATGCGTGTTTGGGTTTCCTGTAAACACATTAGTGCCAATTTAGCGTGTCTTGCTGTTCATTATTTCATATATTGCTGCATTTTCTCCTGGTTTTTATTTTAGAAATAAGACTGGCAAATCGTTTTGGTGGTAATATTTTTACTGACTGGTGAAACAAATTGTTGTAGATTTTATTTTTATCTGTAACCAACTGTTAATACATTAGAATTAAAGATGGTCATTACATTTTTCAAAAGAATGATGGACACGGGGCGGCGATGGGCTCCCCATCGGGTAGCATTTGGGCTGATTTCTCTCTAAGTAAGCTAGAAAATGGACCTCTGAACAACCTTATCAGTAAGCTCTCATTTTATTGCCGGTATATGGATGACACCTTCATCCTTGGTGATAATGATTCGGATAGGAGTGCAATAATTACTGAATTCAGCGAAGTACATTTGGCTATGAAATTCGCATGCGAAGAGGAATCCCAAGACAGAATGAGTTGCCTTCCTGGATGTTCTACCTACAAGAAAACCAGATGGTAGCATAAAAAGAAATTTGCATAGAAAAAGTACTTGGACAGGACAATATACACTCATTTTCACAGCTTCGTTCCTATCAAGTACAAAAGAAATTTAGTGAAGACCCTCAGCCACAGAGTAAGAGCTATATGCTCAGAAGAAGTAATTGAAGATGCATTTAGCATGATCGAAAATGGCTATCCTGACAATTTTATCAAGAAACACATGACAAAGAAAGCTGAGAAGGACTACTCACTGTCTGTAAACAAGAAGCCTCTTTATATACGACTACAATTCAAGGGCGATATACCAAGTGAGATAATTACTAGGAAATCAAGAAAATCAGTTCAAAGAACGTTTAATGCTGGCAAACTACACGTCTTATTCTCTACACGATCGATGGTGCTACCTCGACTGAAAGATGAAGTACCTAGACTAGCTGGTCACTTCAAATTGTATCTACCAATTCAACTGCGTTTGTATTGGAGCGAGTTATGTCGGCCGTTGCCCTAGGAACTTGATTTTTCGTGCTCACTCGAGAGCATCTCCCAGTAGGGCTAAGTAAAGGTGTAGTAAAAACCATCAGCAGTTCGATATCAGACCACCTGCTCCAAACCCGCTGGCCACAAAGCCAGTGTGGAAGAAACCTTCTCTATAATCTACCGGGTGCCTAATAAATTGCCAAAATCATCGAAGCACCGCAGGCTCCAAACAGTAGAGGGTATTGTGATTCGCCTCAAACAACCAGTGCTCTGTGTTCAAAAGAAGCAAGTCCAGCCAGCCCCTACTACTGCCCTGGCTGGCCTTCAGTAGAGACTAGAAATTCATGAATTTGTAATGTTATCTTTCCTAATTTTTTTGACACTCAGCTTATTTTATGTTGATGCTATTGAGCTGTAATCTATCAATATTATTGATAGATAGCAACAATAATGTTGTTCATAACACTAATTCATTCATTCACTATAATGTGTAGGTATAACTGTAGAGCCTGATAATGAAGGGGTTATAGAAAAGAGTACTCTTTGTTCAGTATCCATTCTTTTGAACATTAGAATTAACTCAGATGTAATCACCATCCGATAAATAATCTTATTTCAGGTTTGACCACCGATTGATATCAAAATAAAAAATTATTGTAAAATCTATAATGAAATATATAAATAAGTTCATGTCAGTATGCTAATAAGGTCACAATTCTTATGATAATAAATGAATAAAATAAATTTAGAATACAATTATCTTTGGAGTAAAAGACTAGTTACACTTCCCTTGTGTATGCTACAGATGTGGTGAAGCGAATTAGTCACTGTATTTTATATGCATTCATCATCATAAGTGACGTAAAAGCGTTAATTAGATGTCCTGTGAATGTTTTCCCACAAACGAACCATTCAGCATATACCTTTTTTTATGACTCATCTCAGTTTTATTTGGTGGATGGTGATTAGCAACGGAATCCAGGAAGCACGTTTCGTCCTATTGGGGACTCGTTTTCTGGATATATATCTGCATTTCCCAGTGAATAGTAGTATTCCCACTAAGGTTCGAACTCATTACCGATCATTTCAGTATAAATAATGAAGTGAAAATATTTCACATTTTGATTAGTCTGTTCTAATCAAAAGTTGTACAATCGTACACCCCCTCACACACACACACACACACACTTTGGTTTTCATTTCCATGAATTTTACACTCGTTTTAATTTATATATCCGTACTATGAATAACTTAATTCATCTTTCAAAATTTTGAAGTTTTTTTTCCCCAAAACTCCGTTTTGCGTAACATGTTTTTCAGACACCAGACTATGTACGAGGACTGATGATTCTACGCAGTTGCCCAGGATGGTATAAATGCAGAGGGACCCAAACCAGGGGTCCACTGACCTAATCCAATGTGGTTCATTAGTCTATTAACTTGGCTGTGAGATATATGGCCATTGAAAGTGTAAGATACAAAAAGGTTAGCTAACTGCGTTCCGTCTCCCGTGTTAAATGATACGATAGGGTGAGTAATATTGAGGTTAGGTGTCGGTGGGGTGCTAGGTGAAGAGGAGAGGGGGGTGGAAAGTCAAGTCAATCGACGAGGTTGTGAAGTTACATCCGATTGAGATGGCTAGGGCATGTGTTATGCATACCATCTGTCGCCTTCCTCAACAATAGGCATTATTAGCTGACATAGGATGGATCAGGTTTGGAAAACAGGTAGGATGTGGTGGTGGTCAAACCGAAACATGGCTTCATCAGTCAATGAAGTCTATAAGAGTTAGTTTGAGGCAGTCACGTAGGAAGGTGTTGGCTGACTGGCTGGTTGGTTGTGGTGCTCGGAATGGTAAGAACCAATGAGGACAGGAGAGAATTAATGATATGGCTCAAAATCCTCGTTGTCAATGGCTGATGCATCCACTCCTTATGACTTATAATACCCAATAAAACTATATTGTTCTTCGGCATTACTATTCTCTTTGGCTCATTTACACTTTTGTATATTATCCGTCCTTTGAATATCTCTTGCTTTGTATGGTACATTGAGGGAGAGTGGCACAATTCGGTCTGTCTGTCTGTCTGTTTTCGACATAGAACTTTGCACAAATGTGCCGAAGTTCAAGTCGCCACACTCCGTGTAGCACGCGAAGCAAGAGAAGAAAGTACAAGAAAAGCATAATAGAGACAGTAAGCAGAGGTAAGAGACAAAGGAGGAGTAATAACGAAGAACAAAACAGTTTCATTGGAGATCATAAGTCACAAGGAGTGGATGCATCCGCGTTAGCCATGTCACCAATTGTTTCCAACCATAGATTTTTACCGTCCCGAGAACCCCAGCCTGGAAGTCTACACCTTCCTACGTGGCTTAGACCAACTGTTGTGGATTTCATTGACTGGTGCCAAGTTTTTGTTTGACCGCCGCTAGCTTTTTTCCAGCCTGACCCTATATCCGCTAACATCGCTCGTCGAGGGAGGCGATGACTTGGCATACGTAACACATGTCCTAACCATCTCAGTCTTTGTAACTTCACGACTTCGTCGATTGATTTTCCCCTTCTTACATAGACCAGGACGCCTAACCTCAATATTTCTCACCTTATTATGCCACTTCACACGGGAAATAGAGCGCAGACACCTATGATCAAAGACAGCTAGTCTTTTCATGTCTTCCACTCTGAGTGGCCAGGTCTTACAACCATAAAGCAGGACGGAGCGGACTGATGAACAGTACACACGCCCTTTGGTCGATAGTCGAACATCTCGTCTACGCCAGAGACGGCGTAAACTGGCAAATGCGAAACGAGTCCCCTGTATTCGTGCTGAGATTTCGGCACAAATCAGAGTGGTGCACATCTGACTGTGAAACTAGTCAGTTAGTCTAGGAACTTGACTACCTACCTATTGGAGGGTTCAGTGTCCAAGAATAATGACGCCTCATTAATTTTGACCTGACGAATTTAGAAAAATTGGTAGTAGCAAGCACATGTGTAATACACATAAAAGCTTTTTTATTATTACTAATAATAGCAACGTTAATGCTTATCCGTTCTTTGGTAATTATTACCTCGGTTTCACGCAATTATTATTTAGATTGTGTACGAAATATAAACTTAACTGGTGTGATTTGTTTAAATTATATTTGTTGATATTCTCATTGATAATTATAATTATTATACAATTACCTAATTGTGTATATACTCTATGTAACGTTCCAATTTCGGATTTAGGACTGATAACGTAGTACTCTTGTTTAGTTGGAACTCTATTATCATATACGCATTAACAAATTACTTTCCTATTGGTTACAGGATTTCATCATTAGCTGACATTAGTTAGAGAACCATTGGAAAACCTGGGAGTACTGGGCAGCTGTTTCGCCCTTGTTTGGGACTCTTCATCAGTACGCACCCACCGGGGTTCGATCCAAAGATCCAGAAGACATTGCGAAATGGTCGCACTATGTCGTGAATTGGCAAAAGTTAGAATTCAGGAACCATTGGATCGGGTCCTAGTGGCTCAATGGTCTACGAGCTCGCCTTGTAACCAGAAGATCCTGGATTCGAACTCCCTGTGGTGGGTGCGTATTGATGAAGAGTCCCGAACTAGGACGAA